AAGCTCTGTCACTTGTTCCGGATTAAGGAAAGAACAATCCACTAAAACCACAGCATCATACAGAAGTTATGTAAGCAACACCTCATCCTCAGAGCTCTGGTTGACACAATAATATATAAGGTTAGAGATTAGAAATCTTTAGTATTAAGATTTGCAATTTTATACTAAAAGTTCAACCCGATAAGAGAAATATATGAGTTGACATATTTATCATTAAAGATTTGGATGACTTGACAAACAAGATGCTTCCTCAGTGCAGTTGATCAATCTTGAAACTCGTGTTCTTTTTTATTATTCATTTGAGTTTAGTCAAACTATGCAATGTTCTAATTCTCAATAATTGATAGAGGCTATGGATGATGAGCTTAAGTCCATAACATACAACGACGTATGGGAACTTGTAATGTTGCATGAAGGTGTGAAACTCGTTGGCTATAAAAGATCATCCTAAAAGAAGGACCTATCACACTCAGCCTTATACTTGAGTTTATATCTTTATAAAATGACTTAATATTCCAGGCATCAATCTAATAAAGAAAATGGAACTCATGGTTAATATTATTGTATATTTAGAAGCTGGTTATCTGGGCCGAATCTGAGAGGGGGGCAAGAGGGGCACCCGCCCTAGGCCCAAAAAATAGAAGAAAGAATAGGCCCAAAATTTTTTCTTTGTATATAGTGGGAGTAGGCTTCTTTTTATTGTTAAGTTCAATTAACTAGGCTTAATGATTAATTTGTTGACAATTTGAAAATTTAAAACATAAATAAAGAGTCTTAAACCGAGACAAGTTTAAAACAGAATATATACATTGTTTTTTAACAAAAATGGTTGTAGTTTTAAAAGCAATGCAATTGTTGCTGCATAAATAAAAGACACGTCTCTCTAGTCCTCACATCTTTTTAGCTTTTAAGGTTTGTTATTCAATCTAGTTATAACATAGCAAATTTATATAATTATTTTAGAACCCATTTCTCTCAAATTCCACCCCAATTATTCATTTGTTTTCAAATTTCAATAAGCTATATCTGAGTTCCTAATAGTAGTTTTAGAAAACGTCAGATTTGCAATCTTCTTGGGTGAGTTTTCTTGGCAGCCAAACATTTTGTCTCTTTGAAAACCTTCATTCTTTCGAGACTTCAAACTTTAGACTCTCATCAGCAGTCCATAAATCATTCTCAACTTATGAATTAAATATGTGGTAATATTTCTTTTCATTTATCCTTTCAAAAGAAAGTTTATTGTTGTTATATGTAGCAATTTTATTGTTTGTCATATTTATTAGTGGAAAGAAGGTTGCACATTGGTCTATGAGAAACATTTTTAAGTAATGTTTTTTCTTTTTATTCGATACTCGTATTGTTACTTTTGCCCATATAATAATAAAGTGATTCTCGTCTTTATTTTATGAACTTCTTTGCCTAAATATGGTTTACTGTTTGTCATGGATATAAGCCCAAAATAGTTTACCGCCCATAGGCCCAAAAATGGACAGGACCGGTAGAGATGGATCAAGCAACATTAGTAGGAGGGTCCCTGATCACATGAAAAATAAGAAAACTTTAAAGTTCATCTTGAGAACCATGGAAATCCAATGAACATTCAGCTAAAAGGAAAGGTCAAAATTTCGTAGGATAAAAATAAACACGGTCAAAATTTCGTAGGATAAAAATAAACACTGACCATGAAAGAAAGGGTTCCGAAGAGAACTTATTGAACATGCAATCCATAACCTCAACTCATATTTCAATTCCTTTCTTGAGCTACTACATTCATGAAAATAACAACACAGTTCCAACAAAAACGCTTCTGCAGTGACCAGACCAGCCAGCTCACTTAAATGTAACTCTCCGCCTCTAATCCTTTCAACAGAATGATCGCTTAGAAGTGGAAAAAACTCTCTCAGAGAAGCATTTTTACTATCCCCAATCCAACCATCAACTAAATCCCCTACCTGCCTAATTAGGCCTTCCATAGCATCGAAGTTACCACACAGCCCATCAGAGCATATGTTAATGTACCCAAGAATTGAACCATCAAAATCCTTAACCTTTTCTAGGAGGAGTTTCTTATTTTAAAACTCATCTCAAGACACTTAAAATAAACTATAAATCGATAAAACTCATACATAACAGGCGCAATCAACACAACGCTTTTCCATGAATTAAATGAAGCGGAGCGAGCAGCAATGAGGTGAAACAAATCTTTTATGGATGCAAACTGCCTCGAAGGCCGGTCGCTTTTCGCTGAAGTAGAGCTCTGGAAGTCTAATGCAGAAGAGAACCAGACCGTTTCTAGAGGTGGGTTGGGTTTACGTCGCAACAATTCTTGAAAGTTTGAGCACAAAGATTGATTCTTTGGGAAATCGGGATCACGGAGGGAATCCAAAAGCTCTTGGATTAAGTTGCTTAGTGCAGTTTGATAATTTTCTCCGATAAAGCAGTCATATTTCTCTGATTCAATATGCATTAAAGCCATGGCTGCCAGAGACAGGACTCGGGTCGATGTTAAAATGCTAACCCTGGAGAGAGTTCACAAAGATTTAGGGAGCAACACTCCATCTTCATCAAATTAAAAAGAGCAGCGGTTCTTCTTCATCAACCAGAAGCTTAACAAGTAGCGCTACATCTTCATGAACAAGAACCTTCACCTTTATTTCAGGTTCTTCATCTAGCCATTTCCTTATATTTATTTGTAATTCTCTATCTTCATTAACATATTAATTCTCTAATTTTAATATCCACTAGTTCTCATCATTTTGCTTCTTCTACTTCATGTGGCCTTTAGCTATTGTCTTCTATAACCACATCTCCCAACTGTTATTGAAACACAAAATGAAATCTGAAGATTGAATCCTTGTTTTCCCCTATTTTAGGTGTGTGTTGATTCAATTAAATGGTTGAAACCATGTGTGGATTCAATTAATTGAGCTTATGTGAAAAACTTAAATTTATATTTTCCCCTTGTTTATAATTGAAACCGTGTGTGGATTCATCTCGGGTTTTCATTCATAGTAATCTGTTTATTTAGTTTTTTTCATTTGTGCAACAGTTTTTTCACTGATTTGTTCAACACTAGGCAGGTTGGTTTTGTAAAAAGTGTTCTGCACATTTTCTTGAAGTTTAGTTAAAGTTCTCTGTTTTATGTTGCTGCACATTTTCTTGAAGTAAACAAATTTTTTTCATGGTTTTAGTTCTGCATTTTTTGGCATGATTCTTCAACAAAAGTGTACACATTTGTCTCTTATCTTGGTAGTTTTTTCCAGCATCTTTATGCAAAAATTTGGGCAGGTTTTGTTGCTCTTTTTTTGCTTCATTTTGCTGCATACATGTATCAGTTTTTCTGTGAGAAAAGTATCAAAATGGCTAAAATTGTTGTTGAAAAAGATGATGTGGCTAAATTGTTGCTGAAGTGGTTAAAAAGTTACATGTCACCCTAGTTTTAAAAAACTAAGATTTAACACGTTCATGGCATCAAGATTGATGGAGGGATAGCATCTCCAAACTGCAGATCACGAAGCAGAAACAGAAGCTTCTCTTTGAATTGTTTTCATAATGGGATAAATTGAAAGAAAGGTATGGTTTAGGGCTTGCACTGGAGGTCATGTTTATGATCTCTTTGAGAATTTTAGATCTTAGCTGCTATTAGTTGCCTATTGAGTTATTAGACATAATGGTTTCATGGGCTGCAATTAGTTCCAATTTGCGATAATTGTTTAAAGAATCATGTAGCAAGAGAAGAGTAAAATAAAATGAATAAAAAGAAGAGGATAAAATAAAGAAGAAGAAAATATAGAGCAACCTAGAAGAAGAGAGAAAGAAAAATAAGAAAAAAGAGGAGATGAAGCGTAGAGGAAGGGAGAAGGCAACAAAAGAAAATGATACGTGATAAAGCTCCAGAAAGAAATTAAGATACACGAAATCAATGTAACTTAAAACCTGATTTTTTTTCCAGGAATTTGAGATTGCCATGTAATTGCTATAGTGATAAAATTAGAACTTGAACATAGATGTGAATTAAGATACACAAAATCAATGTAACTTAGAACCTGATTTTTGTGTTTGCCCATTCTGAGCTGCTGTTTTGTTTCATATTATGTGAATCGAGATTAAGCTGATCACTTTGAATTCATTGGCCTTTACATGTGCTTCCCTGCCCTTTCATCACTTGTAATATGTTCCACGGTTGTAAATGGCCCTATAATATGAATATCTTCTGGTGATAATGACCATGTTTATTTGCATCCTCCGACTTTAGAATGTCTTTTCTACATTATGTAGATCTTTTTCACAATAAAGTTCCATAGTGTTGAAGAGGCAATTACGCTATCAAAATGCTACAAGCAACTGGAACCTGAAGATATTGGAGAAGAAGCGCATGTAGAACAAGTCTACAATATATGACGAATTTGCGGAATGAAATCGCTAATAGATTAGAAGGAAACGTTTAAATTTAAAGTGTTGTTCTCATAAAGACGAGTGATTTTTTCTGATTATGTAATGTGACTTTTTTATTTTTATAATTCTTAGCATTATTATTCTCAGACATTTAAAATTATGTTTCAAAACAGAGAAAGTGAACATACCATATACATTCAGCACTTGTTCGAGACAGAAGGGTTATTTGGTCATTTAACGTGATTCAGACTTTTCATTCAGCACACTTAGTAAACAGTTTGTTATCCCACTGTCACTTAATCCGGACAGACAACTTAATGCAGGCAAACATCTTAATCCATTTAGGACCTAATGAAAAAAAGTAAACAGCCCCTAGGTAGGGTTTTAGAAGATGCAGCTCAACGAGTCAACAATGCCTCTCCAGTCAACTATGATGTTTCAGTATTTTTTAAGTAAACGAATAAAATTTAAAGGTGTATACGGTTTTTGTGTATATCTTTGACACAATTGTCTTTTTCCACAAATACAAATAGATGAGTTGTTTGTATAAAGATAATTATGTAAGACTCCACAGAGTTATCTGTATACAGACAAGTATGTACAGTGGCGGAGCCAGAAGTTCGTGTCAGTGGTGTCAATTTAGAAAAACAATATTATATAATAATGTGTACATATATAAAGCAAAAAAGCAAATATTGTCATTAGTAAACTTAAAGTACTAAGTCACAACTGTCCACAACGCGTTTTCATATTTTGAAAACGTTGTACAATTTTTTCTTTGTCAACACTTTTGAATATATCTTTTTCAATAAAAGTAACTAAGGCATCATTCATCATAGCATCCCCCATTCGATTGCGCAACATGTTCTTCACGAACTTCATGGCTGAGAAAGCTCTTTGCACGGTTGCGGTGGCCACCGGTAAAAGCAAAGCTAATTTCACAAGTAAAAAAAACTAATGGATACACAATATGTTTCTTTGTCTCCACCAATTTTTGAGCAAGAGAACCAACTTCTGTAATATCTATAAATGCAGAGTTGGAGCGCACATCAAGAATAAAAGTTTCAAGTTGACTATCAAGAGCAAGAACATCTACCGGTGAAAAGTCAAAAGGATATAATCGAGCCATACGAATCAACTTGTCCTTGTCAAAAGATGAAAAAGTGTCTTTAGGACTAAGGCAAGTCACACAAAGAAGCAATTCTGTAGTAATTTCTGTGAATCGATTGTTCAATTCTTCGCGTTGTCTATCCACCACAACATAGAACAAGTCCAATTTGTAACGATGTAAGTTTGTGATTTGGATAACTTTGCGACGGACTCTCCCATGAGGTACATAAAAATCATTCATACTTGGAATTGAAATTTTATTCTTTTCACAAAAAGAAGAAACTTCACCAAAGAGAATATCCCATCCTTCGTCTCTTAAATTTTGCAATCGTTCTTTGGCAACTTTAACCAATTCCATAGCATTAACAATATCTTGATCCTTTCTTTGCAAACATTTTGACAACTCATTTGTTATTCCATGAACACTCTTTATCAAGTGTAAGGTGAAAACAAAATCAAAACATTGGACCAATTGCAAGAGTGTTTGAGCTTCAACTCGTTGTTCAGAATTTGAACCATGTTCAGCCACATTCTCAAGCACATCAAGGATAGACGAAAACAAGATAATAATGTTGAGACACGTACCATAATGAGAAAAACCCTCCGTTACAAATGAGTCACCACCACTTTGTTTTCCCACAACTTGTTTAAAAAGATAACAAGGTAAGCAATATGTTGCATCTTTAGATATACTATATTCTAACCAATTCCCATAATCATCAAACCATTTTTTGTTAAACCGGCGCAAAACATTGCCTATGTTTTTTGGGGAGAAAGTATGATTGCGCGGTTGTCATGGGCCATTCTGTAAATATTTTCTTCGTACCTTATCCTGATCATCCGGATGAAAAATAGAAATTCTTTTTCTTTCTCCGGGATCTGACGGAAGCGCTTCTAAATCAACTTCAATACGAGCTCTCTTAGGATGTTGTAGTTGTTGTTCACTACATTCTCCCACATCCTTGTCTTTACCCGACTTGGGTGTTCTTATCAACCAATTATACATTGTCTCTACAATTTACAAACACAAGACAAAAATAGCACAAATTAATAAACTAATTAATAATTGAGAGCACAAATTAAATAAGCAAATAGCATAGGTAAAATGTTAAAAACTAAATAATAAACTACTCCATAATAATTTATAAACTAATTAAGAAGTAAATAAATTTAATCGGTGTGGCCAGAGTTCTTCCAAAAAAACAGAGTACTTTACCTTATACAACTGGATGTGGGCAGTCCAAGAGGCAAGAGCCAAGAGAGCAATTGACCAAATCTGTAACAAGCAACAGTGGGTGCGGACTGGTTGGTTGCCGCCGGTCGGGCGGAATCGCGTAGAGCTGAGGGCAGCGCAGAGAGAAGCAGCCAGGTGAGCCAGCAGGCAACGCCGCAGCGGCCAGCGGGGCGTTTGGTCACCTGGGCGGCAGCGTCGCAGGCAGGGGCGGACTGGCGGAGGACGGCTGGACGGGAGGAGCGACCTGTGACCGTGGGTTTCCGATTTCAGCTGGGAATTGGGACTACTAATCTGCGATTTGGGCACCCAGGGACTTCGTTTTTTTCTTTTTGCAATTGCCTTTGCTGACTTTTCAATTTGTTGTTCCAACTTTTAAACTTTTTAAATTGACCCCCACTTTTTAAAATGTTGGATGGTGTCAATATATAATTTATGAAAGATTATTTATACCTATATAGAGAATTTTTATTTTTCAGTGGTGTCAATTTTAAATTTTAATTTTTTTTTATATACCTACCTATGGAAAAAAAAAATCCAGTGGTGTCAATTGACACCACTGGCCAAAGGGTGGCTCCGCCACTGAGTATGTATACAAAAAAAATGTACACCAAACATTTTACGATAGAATTAGAATTAGAGGCTTAGTAGAGTTTCCAAACTCTACATCGTAAAGATTAGATTCTAATTGATCGTACTACATTACAACCTTCTTTGTTCTCCTTAAGATTGGAACAAAAAGGTGTTGCGGTTTAAAAAAAGTAGAGTAATATAGTTACAATGAATTAATAAAGAAAAAATGAAGTAAGAATAAATTAGAATCACATGAATATTATCAAATATGACAAAAAATTGTGACAATTATACTAATTAAACATAAACCACGTCGAACTCTTTCGTACCCCTGTTTGGAGGAAGCACCTTAAAATTTTGGTCGGTAATGGTTCTAATGCGGGACCCTTATACACATCGATCAAGAGGACCAATGAGTACGCGAAACACGCACGTAAAACTAAAGAAATAGAATCATTGAAACGACGTCACATCACACATTTTTTACAGTACTTTTTACATTACAATAGGTCCGACCCAGCCCAGGTGCAATTGGTGCACCTGCACAGAGCCCCCAATTTTGGGAGGGCCACCAATTTTTATCAACCTAGTAGTAACCTAGGCCCATTAAAATAATTTAATAACTAGCTCAATCCGTAGAAAGGAGAAAAGCCTACGCCTTGTAATTCCTCATCCGACGACCTTTATACGGAATTGGGATAATTAACTCTTCATCGATTTTTGGAGATAAACAACTAGAGAATCGAAGCGACGAATCAATTTTCGAGGAGAGAGATCGATTCGAGCGGAGGTATGAATTTTAGTCTCTTATCGTTACCATTTTAATGTTAAAATCTCCTATAAAAATCCCGTACGAACTACACTACTAGCAGTAGGGCTGGGAATTTGAACCGAAAAACCGAAAACCGACCCGAAAAAACCCGAACCGCCAAAGAAAAAACCGAACCGAACCGAATCGAACCAAAAAAATTGGGACTCGAAAATTGGGACCCGAAGTCAACCTCGGTTCGGTACCGGGTTTTGATATGCTAAAAGTCGGTTGAACCGAACCGAACCAATTTTATATATTATTTATAAAAATCATTATTTTTATTATATAAATTTTGAAAAGCCCAAGTCAAATTCAGGCCCAACTGCTCCAGTCCATTAGGCTAGGAAACTTCACAAGCTACGGACATATCAATCGGCTACCATCTACGCCGAAGTGCTAAATGGCTGAAGAGGAGGTGAAGATGAAAGAGATTGTCGGCTACCATCTACACTGCCCGGCGCCAGCGACCATATCCGACCTAACAAGGTAAGTAATACTTCGTCTCTATTGTCTTGTTATGCGCACCCCTTGACTCGCCACAGCCATATTCCCTGCCAACTATCCGCAGCTATAGAAAAGTAAAAAAATGGAAACAAGAGTATGCGTTAGGAGTTAGGACAGGTGATTCATAGTCTTAATTTGATCCTAAGCTTTTCCAATTGCTTCTTCCTCTCATATGGAGCTTGTGAGTTGTGAGTTGTGACCTCTCTTTCCTCTTATCTTCAAAAACCTATTGTGTAATAGAGAGGTAGATATTTATATTTTGATTAGACAGAAAATAAACTATTTTAAATTCATTATATCTCTAAGCCAATTATTATTGTATGAACTATGAAGTTGATGATGCACTATAACCAAGCAGTTGAAATTCAGAGTACTAACATGGCAATTCAGAAGTGTTATTTAAAGCTTCTATTGCTAAGCAAAACATTTTGAGGAAATAAATAATGAAATACTGCTTGTGGTACTATAGCTGAAACCATTCTAAGAAATAAAGATTTTGTTTGCCATGTTATTGATAAAGATCATGTTATTGATAAAGATTAAGGAGATAATGTGTGATACATCATTTACAGCCATAACTCATAAGCATTACTATGTAAAACGTTTCACAGAAACCTTTGTATAACAAACTGACTGAGTATACACACAAAAACTAAAATAAGCATCTATGGGCTGGGGAGCTTCTGTATGGGATATTTTCAGTCTTTACATAATTTTGTTAATATACTTGTTAGAGTTTACTGCTAAACTTTCAATGCTTGTTATACTACCCTTAAAAAATATAGCATCCAATAAACTGATTTAGTACATAGAAATTGAACTATTTTATATTAGACAGAAAATGAACTATTTTAAATTCATTTTATCTCTAAGCCAATGATTATTGTATGAACATACACTATTTTTTCCGATAAGTAACAATGTGAGTACGTAACTCATCTAAAGTACATAGAAATGCCCACTCTCCATAGTTACAAAGAGTAAAAGGTTTCCAGATGTTTATAAATGATATACTCATAGACTAAAAATAAGACACTTGACAAGTACCTTGGCAACAGAGAGAAAATATCATTTGTTACAGGTGAGCCTAGTGATTTAGTACTTGCTTACAGTCTTCTTATTTTTTTACTGGTCTTACATTGCATATTAAAGGATATTTTCGGATCCCAGTTAAACCGAACTGATATTTCGGGTCCCAAAAAACCGGTTCCCGGTTTTATTTCGGTTCGGTTTCGGTTTCCATTTTTGCTATAAACGAAAAATCGGTTCGATTCTACAAACCGACAAATCGGTTCGGGTCCCAAACCGAACGCAGCCCTAGCTAGCAGTACATGAATTCCCAGAATTTCCAAATTTATTCGGATTTCTTCAATCTCAAATCTTCACCAACTAATCAAGAAGCAACCAGATTCCAGCTTCTGGAAGAGAGGGCCCTAGGCGATTGACGGATAGCATTTTCTGACGTGCAAGCTTGCGAAGGCAACAAGTGGCCAGCCGGCCAGATTCCAGTTTTCAGAACGCAGAACAGAGGACGGAGGGTCATAAGGCGGCAGGGGATAATGTTTAAGCAAGATTTAAGCTAATTCAAACAATAGGAGTTATCCAACTATTGTCACCCGTATTTTAGGCATGGTCTTGTTGCATTTATCTTTTTCTCAAGTTTCGGTCCAGGCTTCCATCATTTAAAACGAACATGGGTACATTTTATTCTCGGCCCAACAGATAGCTACTTCGTTCTTCGTTTTGTTTCAGCCGTAGGGCGGCAAGATTCCGGAAGGCAGATTCATTGTGTTTTTGTTCTTTTTTTTTGAATCATAAAAGAGCGGCCGTTATATTAAAATCAAGAACACATACAAGACAATCTTCAGACATAAATTACAAATCCAATCGTGAACCCTAGGAGTAGACTTAGAGTCAGTCACCTCATACAAAGCAACATGACTCGCTAAACCTGAAACGGGCAAATTTAGGCCTAAAACGAATGGAACCGAAACTCTGCCTATCAAAAGAACTCCAAAAATCCAAACATTCAAACCAAATCTACTCGGACTGAAACGAAAATAATTGCAAGTAAAGAGAAAATAATACTGAAATAAAATCGTTGCACAAAGCATTCCTTGGTATGGAGGTGGTTACGTAGGAGGACGAACTCTTGCAATATGGGTGAATACCAACTCCACCACCGCCGGAATGGCTGACCAAGGCTTCACGATCCAGTTGCAATCCCAAACGTCAGAACACTTGAAATCAGTATAATCTCAACCCATATTGATAGGGGCGGCGGAAAATCTCAACCCCTACGAAGAGGGGAGACGGCCACTAGGGTTTCTCTCTAGAGAGAAGAAGAGGTATATATAAAATACGAAGTACGTTATTGTATTTAATAGCGTGTTATGTTAAATGTTTTTATTGTGTTTTTGTTCTTATTTATTCCTTTAATTGATTATATCATCATTTTTAATTGTTAACTAGTACAGTACTCGTGCATCCGCACGGGTGGTTAATTTGAAAATTATAATTTGTTGCAAAATAATTTCCTTGCATATATATAAGCCTTGAATTGTTTAAAATTAAAAATGGGATGATCATATTAGCATTACTATATAAATGTGAAAACACTGTAAGAAATAAACTACTGATTAAATATATTGATATAGACAGCTAAAAGTATGAAAACCATAAATTACACGTGTAAACAGTTTGAAATGATAATAAACAAACATTCAAAAAATTGAAAACCCTACTTTTTAAGAAAAAAGAAATAAAAAACCCTAATAGAAATAATGAAAAAGAAGAAGAAACCCTACTTTTTAAAAATCATTTAACAAACTAAAAAGAAAACAAATAGAAATAAATGTTTAAAATTATGTGTGGATTTCAACATTGCTACACTAGGCATGGATTCGGGCCGGGTCGGGCCCGGGCCGGGCCTAGGCCCGCTCGGGTCGCCGGTTTGTGAATGATGGGCCCGGGACCGGCCCGAGGTAAAGGCGGTTCCGGTTCGGGCCGGGCCACCCCCGGGTCACGGGTCGGGCCACCAGCCGGACTGGTTAAATACATTTTTTTAATTTATACTTTATAGTTTTATAAAAATGTGATAAAAATATTAGAAAATGTGGAGATTGGAGAAGATGTGTATAAAATTACTAGAAAATAGGAGTATTTACAGAAATTTTTGTACCCCCACCACCCACCCCACCCCCACGCCCAACGACTCTATTGATTCAAATTTCAAACAAGTCCCAACGGCTATATAGCCGTTTGGGGCCTTTGATTTTATTTGTTTATTTTAGTTTGAATAAATTACATAATGTAAAATTAATTAATTAATTTTATGAATTCAATCAAATTTTGTGCATCATTGTATGAGAAATTACCAAAAGATTGTTGGTTATTTGCAAATCTCGATATTTGAGTTTGCTTCCCCGTTCCGTCGCCTAATTTTGCATACTCCGTCGGGTGTTTGGCCTTAAGATGCC